TTTCCTTATAATGGTAATTGTGAATACGGACCTGCAATTTTTGTATCAATTTCTTGATGGACAATGTTCATGTAATATCTTGATTTTTTCGATGTTCTGTCACTGGCATCGCTTTAGGCTTTGCCAAACAAACATTGAACACCTGGATGGCAAGAAGATTTCTGGCAGAATCTTCCAGGAATGGCTCACTCCAATGCGTTTATTCATCCTTCGAAGCTTGATACCAAACAGTTGTTGGACTACGGTAGGGATGAACTACGATGTCTAACAGGCCTTCTTACTGGTCACTGTCATTTGAATCATCATATGCAGAGACTTGGAGTGTCGGAAGACAGTGTGTGTCGCCTCTGTCTGGAAAATGATGAAACAGCAGAGCATATACTTTGTGCCTGCCCCGCTGCGGACCGAATCAGGTTTTTAGAGTTCGGCAGAGCCGTACTCTTACCTGAAAGACCACTCACCATACAAACTAATCGGCTTCGTTAAGAATCTGTGTTTATTTGTCGAGTGTGAATAGGTGTGAGCCACAATAAACCCTTGTGGGTTGCGGTGGAGGGTCGAATAGACCCACTCACTTTAGACCTACCTACCCTAATTACGGTTCTTGTTTAAATGCATGGCTTCGAGGGAAAATTTCAAAGGTTGCCAATATAGTCTACATTACGCGAGTGACTGAGAGGAAAACCAAGAACATGAAAGTATTTTTATATGTTATAGTAACATGCACTCACTGTAAAGTTACAAAAAATACTCTTCGAAAAAACATGCCAGGCCTTATCTGATATTACATGCTATTTCAATGACAAACAAACCGAAATAAATCAGGATGCTGTGGTTCTACGTGGACTGTTCAAAAAAACAAAGTGAATGTATCAATTCCGCGGGCTCCGTACATTCGATTAGCGATTGTTTTATTATTTTATGTTGGTACACTCGTCTCGAACATATGTTCACAGTTTCAGATGTTTAGCATGTTCGGTTTGTTGAAGAGAAGTATAAAAACTAGAATTGTTTTGCGTGTTCCGCGATTTTCTGTTGTCGAAAAGAATGGATAAAAGGAAGTGCATCAAATTTTGTGTAAAAAATGAGATCAAGTTCTCAAAAACAAAAATGTTGACAGTTGCATACGGTGATTGTACTCTGAGCTAGAAAATTGTTTACAACCGGTACACGCTGTGTAGGTTTTCCTCACTATTTTTTTCGAATACCGTGTCGTAATAGTTCTCGCCACATAGTCGTATGGTCCATAAGGATTATTATTTTGAAGTTATGGGCCGCATGCGAGAAACTACACCGTAATCATGCCTTAGCCACCGTATTTACCAGATTTGGCCCCCTGAGACTTTTTCCTGTTCCCAAAAATGAAGAGACCCATGAAAGGACCTACCAAAAAGTGCATATCAGAAGTGCTTTGAGGATTAGAAAAAACGCTGACACAAGTGTATTATATCTGAAAGGGACTGCGTTGAAGGGGACAAATAGAAATTGATGAATATTTTTTGAGAAAAATGAAAATTCACCTCATTTTTTGAACAGACTACGTACTTTCATCATTCTCCAACTTTTTCATTCAACTACTACGACTATGGCCGTTCGCCCAAATGAAATGTTACCACCGTGTTAGGAATCACACGTTAAAAGGTAAGAGTTCAGTTTCGTACACCTTTTGCTTCAAATAGCTCACAAAAAAATTCCAAAGGTGTCAAATCTGGCGAGCGGGCTGGCCATTCAGTAGGACCTCGACAGCCAATCCAACGTCGGCCGCCCAGTCGCCATCTTGAAAGTTTCATCTGTCAATTTCACTTCAAAATAAAGTATTCGTGCATTATATTCATTATCACAAATTTCAAATTTTCAAATTAAACGGGGGGGGGACAAAGAAATGCACTGTACATATGTTTTAAAACAATACTTAAGTTTGAGACAGAAAATTAAAACCCACATTCGCTAAAGCTGACTTTGAAACAGCCTATTATTCATCTTTTACCATACAAGTGCTGTTTCAATTCAGCGCAACAAACTCCATTCTTTTGCTATGAAAAATTCGAACCTAACATACCGATAATTCTCTAATATTCTGTGATTAGAAATACTAATTATGAACATGAAAAGATATGTGAGTCAGGATTTCGTGAATTTCACTCGTGTGAGTCACTTCTTATTTCCGATATGAATAATTTCGTCCGTTATCAAAAAATGAACGAATATGAATTTCTATGTGGCGACATAGATTAGATAAAAAATTATCAGAGAGACAGAAATAGAAAAACAAAATTGAAAAACGCTGTCAGAGTGTCGATATGAAATCTCGTGAAATTAAAAATATGGTTTTTACCGTGTGATGAAAAATTATAAGGTTTTGTAGTTTCTTCATATTGCAATACGACGTCC